ACGTTAATACGGTAATTGAAGACTGGAATACAATTCTAATTCCCTCCAACGACTTCAAATAGTTATTAGAAAAATTTTATAATATTATCTGGAAACCAAGTACTCGACTGAGAATGATGCCTTATCATCACTCGAGTCGGGTCGGCTAAATATGCACTTGTTTATTGGCTTTGACCAACATCATGACTTGCTACCTGATTAAAATCGCGCGGTGTACCGTTTGCTATTATTAAATTTATTTAATGTGCTCGTTGTTACTGAATGTTTCAAAAATTTTGCCTTGTCATTGAGGCCATAATCAAAAAGGAAAGTTATATCGCGTGCAAATCCTCAATGACGTCCTCGGTCATGTAGGCAATGATGTCACCCTAATGTTGAAATCGACAAAAAATGCGCAGGTATGGATCAATCACTAGAAAATTTAAATATTTATGCCAAAAATTTCGAAATTGGTACTTTTGGCAGAATTATAGTGGAGGCAGCTATGAGTTTGATTGGGAAGTAACATTGCGTTTTTTAAACATTTGACAGAAAGACAGGGCCGGTCGGGATTAATTTCTTAAGAAAGTAGCAATAGCTTATCCAAATTGTTCAAGTTATTGGAATAATAACTCTTGACGATATTTTGCAATTTGATTTTTATTTCATTTCCGTCTAAAAATTGTTTGACAATCTTTACTAATATATCGTTAACATTAAAAGAATGTATAGTAAAATCACTCTCGATTCGAATGCACATCCGCACTTGTGTGTGGTCTACTGTGAGTCAGTAACATTTATAGAACGACGCTCGTGTTAACGGTACATATTGGTACCGATTTCATTCATTGTCTTGTGCAAATCGTCGTGCAACGACTTTATCTAACCTCAATATTTTTTCGTGCTTCTGCTTCAGTTATTTAAAGCGAGGATTTATTTTTACAATCACGAAGTTGTATTTTTATCTAAACATTTTTATCTATTATTGATAGTGGCTAACTCCATATCCACTTAATCCTGATACATACAGTAAACACCGTACTAGTCTACGACTGGCGTATTCCACTTAGGTGAAGCGTATTTCTATATTGAACATTGAAAGTAATAAAATATTGTATCATCCTCATTGCAGTTAGAGATTGTCTTGCCCATTTTAGTACTAAGATGTAAATTTTAACATTTATTGGAAGCGTGGTATGGAAATGAGCGTTGTCAGTGAAGAAAACGAATGATTGTAACTGCATCAATAATATTTACCTTGTAACTAAATGTACAGTTATTTGAATCGTTGTAATGATATTTTATAAAAATTGAGTCTGAACGAGGTGACTTTATTGAGAAATAAGATCTACTGACAGTAAAAGAATAAGATCAAACCGGGCACGACAGCCAAAAAAAGCATGTCTAGCGAGACAATGTCGAAAGTTTAAAATATCCGTCCGATATAATATCTCTGAAATAAAAACGGCGAGGTCATATATAAAATATAATTTGTAATTCGAAAGCGAATTTCGGGTAAATCATGTATTAGAGTATTAGACCATCATTTACTTCAGTCTCAACTTGACTCAATTTTACTGAATTTTCTCAACATTAGGCTTAGCAATTGAATCCGCGTGTATCGACAGGTATTATGGGCAAAACCTATTTAAAATTTTATGAGACCGCCGTCTCAGAATTCAATAAGATTTCTTTCGTTGCTTCAACTACGAGAAAAACGCCACGGGAAACTTTCTGAGAAATTCTATCATTCATCAAAACCCACAAGCGCACGAGTTTACATTCAGTCCGGTTAATGCGTTCGTCGGCATAAGGGGTTTCTCTATCTCGCAGGAAATATTTACTTGGTAATACTTGATCTATTACTAAGTAATTGCGATATAATGTTAGATAGCTGTTGTTGAAAGGTTATACTAATTATGAGCAAATGTTTTGTTTTTTCACTAAAATTAAATCTGGTGTAACTAGTGGCCATGACATACGTATACGCGAGGAAATTGCTTTGTAGATATGAGCCGTTATGGAATAAGTCGTAATTTCTAGTGATGGTGGTTTTAAACTTTACAACAACATTATACTGTTAGTTATACAGAACGACTATGTTAGAAGAGTTTATTTTGAGAGTAGATCAAGGTATTATTAAACAACAAAGATAAATATAATTTACATGGAATTATGGTTGTTGCGATTTTTTTATTCATTAGGAAAGCTCTGAAAATATAAATATATAATTCTCGAGTAGCGAGAACTGCTAAGTAAACTCATTTTTGTGGAGGACATTATTTGTATAATAAATTCATCCGTTTCACTTTAATAAGGGCTCGGACTAAAAAATTATCAAACTTAGCAAGACTCAAATCAGAGCTTTTTTAAAGCTGCGATGTCATGAAATAGTTATAAGCCACTGCATTATAGAGCACTAGTTTACAACTCTATCTTCGAAAATGTTTTCGGTTAACTATAAGAGGGACATAAGCCTTATTCAGTCGTAATTTTACCTAAATCTCAATGGAGTTTTGTGAGCATACAGGAGTGAACATGGATTGACTCCAACGAGGGGTATTTTAATTTAATATGTTCAGAAACATATATATATTGACATTCACAAAACAGAATATTGAGAAAAAATACTTGTCATGATATTTGTAATAACATTGCAAAATCATAATGATATAAACACGTAAGTATGCTTTATTGCCTTTTTGTACTTGCTAAAGGTACCGTTTAATTAATCGAGCAAGGCCGCGATATTTGCCATGAGGGAAATATGGTAATGTTACAAAAATATTAAGCAGTTTATTATAAATATTGTGATAATATCTCGACACACCCTCGTATCATTACGTCACATCATCGAATAAACAATAGTTTATGTGATCTAGGTTTAAAAATTTGACATAAATACACGAAATCGCAAAATTTAAATTGGAATACAAGGCTTGCCTTATTGTCAGATTCATTCAGTTGTACTTAACATGTAATCTTGACCTCGAGTTACACTTTACAGGAAATATACTAAGTCATCATTTTAGATTTTAAACTGGGCGAGATGGAAAAATAAAGGTGAAGAAAATTATTTTTATGTATATAACCTTGAATACTTTCACTATAACAATAAATTTAAAGTGAAGTTTAATTTCGAAGTATATATAAGGCAACTGATCACATTCTCACGTATTTTAGTTGCTATATATAATTAACCAATCGTATACGTGTTTAACCTTATTTTAACCTGGTAATCGTTGTCTCGGGACATGCTCATGACACTTGGATGTTTATATTTCCCTTAGACACGTTTAATTTTTTTAAATGCGCATATTTATTTTTATTTATTATTTTAAAATATCCACTTCCTTATTATAACCAATAATAAACATCGGTCCTATCTTAGGATCTTTGTTTATTTTCAGATCGTTATCAAAATGTTTGTTGCTAGCATAAACCAGAAACGACCAAAGGATAAAGAACAGTTGTTATATATATATATATATTAAAATTTGTTAGCGGAGTATCGTTCGGAATTCAATATTTTATATTACTAGCAGCATACTTAAACGTAGATAGAGGTACACAAATAAAGTTTTCAACTTAGTGTAACTCCAAGTCGTTTATAAATATTACAAATCTGAACGTGTCCCATGTCAGTTTCGTTGTTCAATGACTAACAACAGTGCATATACAAGACATCTTCATATCCACTTGTGCTCTGTATGGGGGGTTTTTGACAGTTCATAGGTAGGTTGAGTTTGTTTCTTGGCGTCGTGTTTGAGCAAAAACGCCAATCTCCTGCAGTGGTTCAAAAAAATTCCATATGTCTCTAAACGTGTTTATGTGGTTCTAGCGGGGCGAATTTCAAAAGTGAAATTGCATCAGATTTTAGTCACACGTAACATTATACGTTTAAAATCTGACATATTTGATAAATGACGCAGTTTCTTGTGGCCTGGCGCTTGAATACAAAAATGAAAATTGCCCAAAAACAGTCTTACATAACTTTCACTTGTCCAATTAATCGAAAGTTGAAAGAGGTTTGTATCATTTGGGGAATTTCTATCATGGTAATTTAAACTAAGTGATTTCAGAAGTGCTAAGAAAACGTGCAACTCGTAATAAGTTTGTTTACCGTTGTTCTGGCATTTAGAAATCGTTTGCTCATTCCAAATTGATCGATGATTATTTATTCAAAACCAAATATATCAATTGTAAAATGTGTCGGAGCGCACGTGTGAAGATTTCTGAGATCTCATTTTTTATACTTTAGATATAGATTCTTATTGTTTTCATTCAAATATGAGATGATTGTTTATTTTTCACTTAATTTCTAGTTTAAGCTTGACCGGCGGCAAAATGTCCCTATTATTACAGAACACTTACGTGAAACGAGGTCAAGTATAAAGCATATTGCTTGGACTTACAGCTTAAAAACAGAATCATGTCCAACTTAAGATCATAATATTTATGTTCACGATACAGTGACTATACATGTTATATGCAAGTTCAAGTTTAGGTATAAATCGGAATGTGAAAGAAAATAAAGTCTTATATAGCCTATCTCTCTATAAAAGTGATACTACCGCACAGGTAGCCTACCGGTATCACATGTGATCAAATGCTCGCTTTTCATCATTAAGCTGATGTGTCAATTTAAATCTATTTGATATCTTGTACCTGATTTTATCTATCTTGTACTCTCTGTCGGTCCAGCACCTATCTTTGTAATCACGTGACTAGGTCAATTTTTAAAATTCCCCAAACTATTCTCCAAAGCAGACGCACGTCTGAGAACAAAATCAGTTAAAGCGGGGAATACCCAGTTCATCTGGTGGTGATTAATTCAATCTATAGAGAATGATGTCGGTCGGTAAATTCGCCAAGAACATGCTCATAAATTTAACAACTGTTGTTCACTGTATAGATTGACATTTACCTCTTTTTAAGGGTTCTGAGAAAGAAAAGAGAGTTTCAGAGAACGTGTTTCGGAGAAAATCTATAGCGTAAAAAATCTCACAGTTCTATAATATATTATTTACAGAACATCAATAGTTCAATGGTATAGTACCGAATAGCTCATGAGTTTCATGGTTGAACGCCGCAGCATGACTTCATCAAGAGAAGTCGATGTAGCGACAACAATGGATAAGACAACAAGCGCCACCGTTGCAACAAGCAGTCAAAATGTGACACTTGAGAATAATGCTATAGACATTGTATTTTATTCAGTGTCTATAATTCTCTTTGGAATATCTTTGTACGTTTTTGTTGTACTATGCATTTATTTGCACCGATTTCTGCAAAAGAGACGTCGTTCCCGGAAAACAGTGACATCAGCAGCTTTGGCGAATGGCTATGGGAAAATAGCATTGTCAATGAGATTTGTTGCTGCTTCTATATCACTGTTCTGCCTCGTCCACTTTATATTTGAGCAAGTAAGATTTGATTATTGAACATTCATTCATATATAGTTTTATGCGATCGCCAAGTGTTTAAGACATAAAAAATAATTTATCTGATTTATAGCGTGATCTACATAAACTGAAAAAATATGAAAAATAAATTAGAGCGTTCGTTGTCTTTGAGTCTACAAACTAGCTAGAATATGCGATAGCGAAGAAAATCTGTTTATTTTATCTTAAATAATATACCAACCGGACTTTCACTTCTGCGTTAATGCTGAAAATTACAATAAAAACAGTACAAATCGAGATAGAACTAATCTATTTGTTTATGTTAATTTCAATATAATTGATTTTATTTGAATTAGTACTCCTATTAAATAAATCATAAATGTCATACACGCATTTCACACACATCGCCTCACCTATAAAGATACCAATTTTGATGTTTAAAAGATATTACGCTTTAAATATGAAATAAAGTATATCATTTGCCGATAATTACGAGATTTGGGTATTTGGAAGGTTAAATAAATTTAAATCTTTAATTGTATACAAGTCCCATATGATAATCCACAAAATTAGACCATTCCAGCCTACTGAAATATAAATCTATCATGATGACCTGTTCTCGTTTTAGATTCTTCTGCATTCAAACTGCTGTGACTTTATTATGAACAAACTAAGTGTTCTAATATATGGTATCGTCATTATGCTCGGTTATGTTTTCTTCTGGTTGAGACAAAGAGTTTTATACGATGCACCTGCTATGAGGCTTTTCAACAGTCGGCTTCTCCGAAGTCTCAGTTGGTTATCACTAATTTTTGTGGCAATAAACAGCGCTGCACAGGTAAATATAGTATTGTGTTTGCTTCGTTATCGAATACAGATGTGGTTATTGCTAAAGTTAGTGAGTTTGTCATCCTCGTCCTCCTTCATCAATTCTGGTGAATTTGTGATTTTTATGGCCCAAATGTGTAAAAATATCTGAAACTAAACGCATTTCCTATAGTGACTCATGGATTGATAATTATCTACTGTGAACATATACATATCTTTAATACCAAGTACTCAATACAGACGGGTGACTCCGAAAATATGTTCCCATGTCACTCAATGTAATGTATAGCCGTATAGGTGATCATTTTAAGTATTTTATATAACGAGCAGTGAAATAAGTTCGAACATATTTACACAAGTCGAGCAAAAGATAAGTCTTCAATTATTTTGGTAAAAATTAGCTGACTATCAATTAATCCTGTAGGCTAGGTGATGGACTGTATTAGTAGCTCATAGTGAACTGATAAAACACGCCAGAATCAGTCTACCGATATATGAAATGGAAAATTTAAGCGTTTTCCTTTCTTGCAAAATATGTTTGTAGCCGTGTATGTATCCTCAGGTTTCTCATCGTGTGCGAAAATGTTTTTGAGTGATTCGTAATTCCTTACTACAGTCTGTGGAAGGTAAACTTCACAATCCTGAATAATTAAACAAGCTTATAGATGTATAACGCGATTACGCACCTGTTCATAATACATACTTTAAATACTTCAATTTCAGATTATACTGACATGCTTCCTTCACGACTTCAGCGACCCGACGTGGGTCTATCTAACCTGGCTCATAGGTTGTGTTTTGGTTCAATCTGCGTTGATGGCACTCTTCTTGTATCCCCTACTAAAACACGGACAGGATCGACGGAAGACACTAGGTGGCGGAAATATTAAAAAGAAGCACTCTAATAGTGGGCCGAGTAGGACATTAGGTGCTCAAGAGTCTAATGTTATTGGAATTGGGATTCGAGACTCGAACATTTTTACTGTTAGCTCTTCCTGGAAACGGAATGGCTCAAGATCATCAGTCAAAAGGTCAAACCTCGAGTCAGCAAGTCCCATGTATCGGGCTGCACGTAGATGCGTTGTATGTGCTTCAGTGGCATTTATTAGCGACGTCGTCGCAGGTATTTTTATGGTGACGGCGCATCGTCACTTACAAACACGAAACTCGGAAGTTTTTTCCCGATTTCTTTTTGATTTCAACTTGGTGGTTAACTCTATTTTTGTTGTTGGGTGTTTCGCAAACTGGCGTCATATACTGTTTCCTAAATGTGATCGTCTGCAGTCAAAAAGGGCAAAGTATGTTCCACCCGCTCCATCAGACGCATCGTTTGGTCAGCGAGTCTTTTCAAATGAAAATTATCATGAACGATGACGTCCGATGGCCGCTGATACACGAAACGATTTGAGCAAATTCCACTATGGAAGCTGAATAGCAATAACTTGACACTTGAAAAGAACAAAAGCTTCGGCTGAATGAGCAATTTGATATCGGGTGCACTGTTAGACTTTTCTTTTGTGTAATGTTAGCATGAGCAATACTTACTTCTATGACTCAAAGTCTGTGTCGATAATTTGCATTGTAGTTGCAAAACGAATACATTATGTCATTCGACGGATATCTCCAACAGCAGTATCTGCTAGCAACGAAGCAGCAGGCAATACAGAGTGCTATTATTTAAAAAAAAAAACGGATCGTATTCACTGGCGCTCAATTGTACAATACGTTTCAACTTGGCACAGCTGATTGGTCGGGCGACAAACCGTTCATTAATCATTCCATGTGCAATCTTGTCATTCTGCACGAGTGTTGATCCGCTACTTACACCCATGTTTAATATAAACAATGGTACTTTGCTAAAAAGATTGAATTTAAGTTCAAACTGACTGCATCTAAATTTGTCTTATTCGTATCGAATCGTCACTGTGATTTATATTCCTTCTTGCCATTTGTACTGCAACGATACCAATATCATTTTTCAATTATCTGCTCTATAGACGAGAGTACGATAGATTAACGATAGACCCAGTGAAGTGATAACTATCAAAAGTAAAGTAATAAAATAAAATTGACCTACACTGGCGAACATATCTAGTATTTATTTGGGTCGTAACTTAGATTCCTGACGTACATTTTGTGCTTTTTACATCTCGAGTTTTTACTTCGGAACTGAATGTGTAATTTGTGAGTGAAATCTTTTGATTTCCGATATGGTTATTAAAATTCTGTGCAAACTCGAGGAATATTTAAGTTTCTTCATACAAAGAGAGAGCATCTACTAATATACCTTTTATATTATATATTATTTTTTGGTGTGCTGAATGAATTGATACGTAAAAGTGGTAAAAAAAGTAGAATGGTCATACAACGTGGTGATATTTTACTACTAATTTCACAATGCCAATAAAAATTAAAAATGTTGCAGAATGTGAATTTTGTATTTCCTTAAAATAAGGTCTTATTTTGATTGTGAATGGGGTTTTTAATGTAACAAATATTTCCTTCTTCGTTGGCTTGAGATTTACTGACCTGGAGAATATTTGTCATATCATGTCATGCCGTATTGCAGTATAATTATAGGCGCCCCAGAAGTATGTGTACCAAAATTGAGGTAAGTAATTTTCGCCTACCTTACATTGGGTAAAGGGACTGAATGGGCAGGGGGCAATGTTCCCTCTAAGTTTTTGTCGAATGTGTGCGCAGAAATTTTGGTGTGTGCGCACTTTTTGGGGAATGACTAATATTTGTGCAAAAACCAATGAAGAAATTTTGGCGTTTTAACCGGGTAATAGGTGGGCCAACAACAAACTTTCTCAACCTGCCAACCGAGAACATTGTTGCATTACATCGAAATACGTCTGTGCGCAGTAAATCTATGCGTGTGCGCAGCCTCTGAAAGCTGTGTGCGCGCGCACACGCGCACACCTTAGAGGGAACACTGGCAGGGGGTATACTCACTTGGCTAACACAGACAGTCTCTGACTCTTAATAGAACCAAAATAGGGAAAATCGGAATAAAATTACGGCCTAACCTGATACCTAATTTTAAAATAAGTGAAATTTTCGAATATTTCCAATTTTTGGCTATATCGCTTAGCTTGAAATATATCTATAAATATGTTGAACCCGTCAAAAATAAATAAACAGAAAATAAAAATAGCGTTTGCACATAGATATAGAATGTGGAAAATATCTCTTAACATAAATGTGAAACCATTCTCATTTTGTTATATTTCAGTAAATTTCTTCTCACTAATTTATGGTCTAAAATTCAAAAATTTTAATTTGCGTCGCATTGAGGTGGAGCAATTTATTGCGCAATTTGATTTAAATTACAGTTTTCGTGTCTTGCTGTTTCCGGTATACCCGAATTTGCATACCATAAAAACCTACAAAACACTGTGAAAAATAAATTGAAATATTCTTGCTCAAATATCCCGGCCTCGGTTACTGCAAATTTCAGGTTCATGATGAACCCAGAAGCTGATTATTCCTCCCGCATGCAGACACTTCGTTCAAATTGAATAAATGCAAATAAAAATTCAGCAAATGCATTATTATTATATATTTTGATTTCGTGAGATTCATGAAAGGATGTGTTGGCGGTGCATGCCCTTCAGGTCGATGACCCAGTGAAGTGATAACTATCAAAAGTAAAGTAATAAAATAAAATTGACCTACACTGGCGAACATATCTAGTATTTATTTGGGTCGTAACTTAGATTCCTGACGTACATTTTGTGCTTTTTACATCTCGAGTTTTTACTTCGGAACTGAATGTGTAATTTGTGAGTGAAATCTTTTGATTTCCGATATGGTTATTAAAATTCTGTGCAAACTCGAGGAATATTTAAGTTTCTTCATACAAAGAGAGAGCATCTACTAATATACCTTTTATATTATATATTATTTTTTGGTGTGCTGAATGAATTGATACGTAAAAGTGGTAAAAAAAGTAGAATGGTCATACAACGTGGTGATATTTTACTACTAATTTCACAATGCCAATAAAAATTAAAAATGTTGCAGAATGTGAATTTTGTATTTCCTTAAAATAAGGTCTTATTTTGATTGTGAATGGGGTTTTTAATGTAACAAATATTTCCTTCTTCGTTGGCTTGAGATTTACTGACCTGGAGAATATTTGTCATATCATGTCATGCCGTATTGCAGTATAATTATAGGCGCCCCAGAAGTATGTGTACCAAAATTGAGGTAAGTAATTTTCGCCTACCTTACATTGGGTAAAGGGACTGAATGGGCAGGGGGCAATGTTCCCTCTAAGTTTTTGTCGAATGTGTGCGCAGAAATTTTGGTGTGTGCGCACTTTTTGGGGAATGACTAATATTTGTGCAAAAACCAATGAAGAAATTTTGGCGTTTTAACCGGGTAATAGGTGGGCCAACAACAAACTTTCTCAACCTGCCAACCGAGAACATTGTTGCATTACATCGAAATACGTCTGTGCGCAGTAAATCTATGCGTGTGCGCAGCCTCTGAAAGCTGTGTGCGCGCGCACACGCGCACACCTTAGAGGGAACACTGGCAGGGGGTATACTCACTTGGCTAACACAGACAGTCTCTGACTCTTAATAGAACCAAAATAGGGAAAATCGGAATAAAATTACGGCCTAACCTGATACCTAATTTTAAAATAAGTGAAATTTTCGAATATTTCCAATTTTTGGCTATATCGCTTAGCTTGAAATATATCTATAAATATGTTGAACCCGTCAAAAATAAATAAACAGAAAATAAAAATAGCGTTTGCACATAGATATAGAATGTGGAAAATATCTCTTAACATAAATGTGAAACCATTCTCATTTTGTTATATTTCAGTAAATTTCTTCTCACTAATTTATGGTCTAAAATTCAAAAATTTTAATTTGCATGGCATTGAGGTGGAGCAATTTATTGCGCAATTTGATTTAAATTACAGTTTTCGTGTCTTGCTGTTTCCGGTATACCCGAATTTGCATACCATAAAAACCTACAAAACACTGTGAAAAATAAATTGAAATATTCTTGCTCAAATATCCCGGCCTCGGTTACTGCAAATTTCAGGTTCATGATGAACCCAGAAGCTGATTATTCCTCCCGCATGCAGACACTTCGTTCAAATTGAATAAATGCAAATAAAAATTCAGCAAATGCATTATTATTATATATTTTGATTTCGTGAGATTCATGAAAGGATGTGTTGGCGGTGCATGCCCTTCAGGTCGATGTCATTAATAAGTGATTTGTTCCTCATTAGGGAAAGTAATTTTGTTGTTGCGTGCGTCGTCCAAACCGGCGTATTAGATTGAAAGCATTTATTTGAAGTCACGAAACAGTCCAATTGAGATGTTTTATCTATTCTAGATATCCAAGGTAGGCTATTATAGTTGTGGCGATATAAGCGGAAAAGTCATTTTGAAAATGCCGTTAAATTGCAGGAATTTGTCTAATTTTTGCTAACAGCACGGTTTGCCATTTTAAAGTCTGGATATGTTTATTTTCATAAACTGTAATCAGATATTATTTTTACCTCGAAATGTTTCAACTTTTTTACTTTTATAACACTTCTTCCACGATTTTTGCAATATATATTAACAATATACAACGAGTTTTAACCGCGGAATTTATATCATTTTTTGACAATATCGTTTATTGTCCAGAATTACTAATGGGTCGCATTTGTGATTTAAATATATTAGGTAATTACGTTAAGCTCAAAAACATTACCCATCAAAAACATGAATCCTCCCCAAAGCAGTCATGGAAGATCTTACCCCTTGAAAGTTTTCTGCCATCGGCGTATGTGTGAGATGGAGTAGAAATGAAACGTCAAGATAAGGTGACGATGTAAGTAATGTAAAACACAATTATTAGTCTGCGTATACATAAAATTAGGAATACTGCACATTTTACTTCCATTATTTATGGAGCATCAGCTAAAATGGTTTACTCTTTGGCTACAATGCTCAATAAATTAATAACAAATTTTAAAAAACAATTTCCCCGAAAAGTTATGAATGTATTCATTTATTTGTTTGTTTATTCATTTTTTAATTTGTTTATTACTGCATTCTTTACTTTAATCAATGATAGTTTATATCTTTTCAGCGTAGAAACAAAAAATATTGCGATACATTTTTGATCTGTTTAAGGTTGTACGTCTGTAACGAGGCTGTTGTTAGTCATTATTTTTAGAATGAATGAACAATACTACGACATTCTTTTCTGTTAGCTTCGGTTTCGGATGACGTTTAAATATTTATTAGAAAATCACACCCCCTAGAAAGAAATCTCCACATTCCGGACATCTGGCCAGATTTTTTGCAGTGCATTTGATTTTATCATTTTTATCGCTTTCAACGAAAATTTGACGTAAACGAACTTTTTAGTCGAAGTAATACTTTGGCCGAGCGGAAAACTAGATTCCAACCAAGTATGGGGCGTATAACCTGACGAAATGATTTTATCATGAATCTTCTGGAAGATAAAATATATAAATCCGATAATTGTAAGCACTTTGTTTTGCTTTAAAATGTAAGTAAAGTGTTTTGCTTAGAATTCAAAAATAGCGTTCCAAAATATTATTAGCTTACGACAGGTAAACAAATACTTACGTTTCCAGCAAGATTCAAACTTTTTGAATCTGACGGATTTGCAAATTTATCCGAATAAATTGTGCATAATTTTTCTATAAAAGTATATTTATTTTATGAATTCAGCACATTCACTACCCTATGTTTGGACAATAAATTCTCTCTGTGAAAGGCGAAGTAAAACGCAGAAATTATCGAAATATTTACCTTTGTATCAAAAAAGTACCCATCGACCTTCTACAGCCTCTACCAAACAGATTGAACACCATAACTCGCCAAATGCCAACAACAATCGTGTGAATATACCGCATGAACACAATTTTTCTCCAAGGAATTATAACACATTCATGAATTTACTTCCTTAATGAAATAGAAAATAAAAACACTTTTGAAGAATGATTTTTATATTTCAATTCGGTTCGAAAAAAATCTCATTTTGACCTAAAAATTTGTTCCTAATTCTGATGTGAGCAGAATATAGCTGATCCAAATTTTATAAAAAGCATTATGACATATAGATAAATGTAGCGGAAGATTGGCACGAATGTTTATTTTCCTGAAATATATCTAGGCATGATAATATCGTGTAGAAAAAGCCATGAAGCACAATTTTTAATATAAGAGTACTTCACGAGTAGGTGGTTCACATAAGGACCTCCATAAGAATGTGCACCAAGATGGCGCACAACCTGACCGTAGTATGTGTACCAGGTTAGGGTTCAGGTTGTGCGCCATCTTGGTGCTCATACTTCGGGAGCGCCTCGCATAATACTTCAACTATGAAAATACCAAGATTGGACGGTCATTTCCAAAATTTTCGGTACGTTAATCGTCACTTGACGACTTTTTTTTCAATTTTTTGAGTGAGCTATTGTGATATTGAAAAAATATTAATGATTGGACACATACTGGATCAATGAATAGTTTGGCTGAATTATTGTTGTTATTGGGGTGATTGTTGTTGAAGATAAAAATTGCCTTTCTCCACAACTATTGGGCTAATGGATTTTTAAATTTCTGCACATCCATAACTGTGTCAATCGCTAGTCATGTTTAAACTACATATTGTAGGGATAATAACGGGGAATGGAAAATATTATAACAGTAAGTGCTTGAACATTGTTTATACTTGATAAGTATGCAGGATATATAGGATTTATCGAGGCTCCCGGATCGATTACATGCGCTGTAGCTTATATAAGCGATCATATATATGACTACAATAACAGTCTCGGCGGTATGGCGCATCATGCTAAACGTTAGGAATACGCTTGCCATCGCACCTCTTATTAGGAGCATAAGTTTATTTTGATTTCCCCGATACACAACATATCTATAACACATACACAAAACAATGTACACAAATTGGCGAAACCTCTAAAAAGGTTTCAATCACGTGGAAGTAGGCTACTTGTAACAGTTTACTCATTACCCTGCTTCGGTTCACAGGTTCGAATCCCGTAGGGGAATAAAAACGTGCGAGGGGATTGCTGGATTCCTCGCCGCCGTCGGTGGGGTTGGGTGGTTCGCTCCCCCATCCGACATAGACTAGATCCTACCGCGTTTCCCCGAAAATAAGACTGGGTCTTGTTTCAATTTTCTTTAACACTAGGGCTTATTTTCGGGGGATGTCCTTTATTTTCATTTATCAAAAACGAAATTACAAAGTAGAGAATGACGAAATTTCAAATATATAAAATGTGAAAACCGATATTCATTTACTTACAAATACCATGACTAGATTAATCATTTAAAACAGTGGTTCCCAAACTTTTTTGACCATCGCCCCCCTAAAGTAGTTTATACAACTGCATCGCCCCCCAGCACTACAAAAAATGTAAAGTCAGAAACGAATATATTACAGACCAAATGAGAAGACAAATAGTTTATAGTGTTTGTTAATGAGATGGATGAGCTTGGTGTTCTTCAGCAAGTTTTTTATTAGTAGCACGGCTCAAAAACCCTTTTCACCCATATATTAGGTCGGAATGAAGAATCCAGGGTTCTATCTCCTCAAAAACGTCGTGTACTCTTGCCTTATAGCATTTCACTTCCTAAATTCACCAAATTTCACATTAAATTAATGAAAGCAAAGTTATTTTCGCCATATATTTTTTAAAAGTTAAAACGGAACAACGCGCGAAAACTGAACAATTCGTGAACTCAACTCAGTCGTCTTATTAAAAATATTACAATGACATTTAATGTGACCACTGTCTGTTGATGCATCAAGCTTGATAGCTTTACGACGCCAAGATTGGAACATTTTCTAAATGGCATCACTAATCCCAGGTCTTCGCTTGTTCTTTGTAATGTCTCCATTTTCGAAAAAAATTTTCGCACAAAAATATGTACTTCCCAAACATCTAAGTGAATATTCTCGCATGGTTTGTGAAATTTTGATAAAGATTTTCTTTAGGAAGATACTTTCTTACAAAATTACGCAGTGATGAATCTCTCAATAGAATATGAATTTTAATTCCTTATTGTATTGCAATATATTTCGAGTACTTACTGCGCTATTGAACCCCTGCCCCCTCAGCATCAACTTTTTTTTCCTCGTGTTTCCATTGTCTAATTATATTAAATTCTAGGCTCGTTAAACGAGTAGCTAGCTGTTTAATAATTTTTAGGATATAATAAAATTTAGTCTAAACGTGTCTCACGAAAATTCTGTTACGGTAAAAAATGTAATTTACTCCTCGAGCGTAGATTATAAATAAATAAATTCATCGTCACAACCGCCGTTTGGATGTTTCCCCGGGCATAGACTTCCTTGCTTACATCGTGACATTGGCCAATCAGCAAGATGCAAAAATAAACGTAACAATGCCCCCTTTCGCATCCGCTCAGACAGACTTTCAGGCGTGGTCGTGAACATTCCTCATTTTTGAATTAAATTCGTTTAGTTTTTAGTTGTTTTTCGGAAATTTAAATAAAAATCATATAAGTCAATGATTACTTTGTCCTCTATGAGTTTCAGTTTAAATACGGTAATCAAAAATTGGTGTAGAAATAGCTGTGATAGACTATAGGCTAATTTTTTTTTATCGGTACTTTTAAAAAACAGATTGTTGAATGGTATGAATTAGAATGATAGTTTGAAACAAATACCTTATTTTACAGGCAAACACTCGCGAAACCACTCTTAAAAATAAGCACCGAAAATTTAAAAATGATAAAGTATATAGGAAGATTTTACGCGGTCAAAGGTCGGGAGAGGTCTATTCAGTGAATCGTCCGGCCAATATTTTTTTACTTAAGCCTTTTTGTCGACCACTGGATACGCCACTACCGTACCTTACTGCGGAGACGAGTCCAGAAATCCTTTCGCGTGTGATAATCGACCACGTGAATCAAGTCTGCGAATGCACACAGCGTAGGCTACAGAATTGAGTGCACGATACGCAGAGCAATAACAGATTTCGCGAAATCGCCCCCCTATCCCCCTTCGACTTTTTCGCCCCCCTCTGTATCGTTTTCGCCCACCGGGGGCGATATCGCCCACTTTGGGAATCACTGGCCTAGACCACCTCGTCTTTATTAAAAGGCTTTCTTCTATCGTACTTTTGTAACTTGTCCCTACAATAAGTTTTCACTCATCATCTGTTTTCTTTTCGCATTTTTTTCTTGCACAATCTTAGTTAGGTGGAACGTTATAGCTGTTTTCCTGAACATACTGAATTACACTGCTTCAAGTCTCGTGTAAAGTGGATTCTTTGTCACAAGTATCACATTATAGTTTGATATAATTTCTCTTTCTCTTGGCATTTCGGTAGTCACACGTAACTTTTCTCATAGATGAGCCTGTTTCTCTTTGGAGCGAGTGTGGCATTTCATAAGTCACCCATAATTTTTGGGTGTTTTTTGGTAATTTACAACACTTAGTATACAACACTTCTGAGTGAATTACTCAGTATCTGACAGATTTTGAAAGAATAAAAAAAGGTTACTTTTTATCTCTAGATTGGAAATTGGCATTTTGCACATTCTTATGTTCGAGGAAATTGGGGAACACTGCTGGAAGTAGTTTCTCACTTCTTGCTAAGTCTTGTCATGATATAGATTAATTTCATCCTGGATGAGTCAGCAGAAAGGAAGTGGTGACAAAGCATCTTGTGAATGCACAGGAGTGTCATCATTTGGATCTTTGATTCATTTTAAAAAAGAAAACAAGGTAATACTTGATTATACATAGTTTTTTGGTTTCTAGGCATGTTGAGATTTTTTTCTCTTTGCCACTTAATTGTGAAACTGTGATGAGGTATTTAGTATTCTTGCTTTTGCAGTTATATAATGTAGGTAGGTTACATATATCGTGAATCATTTTTATAAAAGTATTTCTTCAAGCTCACTAAAAGCTAAATCTTAATTGCTATTACTGGTACGGTATGTCTCTTTACCGGGTGTTTTTTAATATTACACTTTTCATGTCTTCACTCTGAACAAGGTTCTATACAATCAGTCGCTGCCAAGGTGGGCATGGAATTCGAACCTCAGATGCCCCGCCCCCAAGCCTTTATTCACCCACTTGAAAACAAGCTTGTTTGAATCGGGTCAGTAAAGATCCACTCAGATATCAAAACCATATGTTTATATTTGTTTGCATAGGATCCCTTGTAATAAATCTGTTTTTAAACATATCTTACCAACACAACATCATATCTGATCAACACTAAATCATATCTGATTAACGATAAATTGGTATTGTAGTGGTATAAAAAAAATCAGACTGCTTCAACTTTGGAAAATTTTTTCAAATATTCTGTGCCTGTTATGCGATTATCTTCACTATATCTGAACAATATTGCCTGAATCATTTTAACCAACGAACAATGAAGTATTGAAAAGGTCACTGAAAGATTCAATATTGTATTTATATTCATCTCATTTTGATTCCGAGCTTTTCAATATAAAATAAAATTGTGATTTTTATTTTGCAGCCAGAAGGTGCTGGGGATAGATGTTTCGAATGTTCAGTGGAGAAGTCATGTCCATATTCTGTATCGAAGATATATCTTGACAGGGCAAAACATGGAAACTGGGGTTGGCCTGTTTCTATTGTAACTGATGTAGAGGATATTGCAGTGTTAACTGATCGACTCCAGAACGGTCCTTATGGAAGATGTGTTTATGAATGTGATAATGATGTCTGTGATAATCAGGTAGGTCTTTCTTATTTATTTGTAGTGCAAAATCAAGTCTAATAAGTAGGAGTATCAGTAATTAGGTTTATTAAGAGTGATAGTACCAGTAAAATTTTACTTTTCCCTAAACTCTTTCCGTCATATACGGTATATATCTATATAATTTAGTTACAAATAATTGAGATTGTTGTTTGTAGAGACTATTATGAGAAACAGTGGGACTCCCATAGTATGTGAACCAAGATGGCAGACACCAGAACGTAGTATGTGCACCAGGTTAGGGTTAGGCTATAATTTCAGGTACAAATACTACGGGAGTCACTTGGTTATTCCCCGAACTCGTAAAAAAACTAAAACAAGGAAAATTGGAATGAAATTATGGCCTATCTCTAACCTGATACACATACTACGTTCCAGTGTCCGTCATCTTGGTTCGCATACTACAGGATTCTTATAACAGTGTTACAAGCTGGTATGACTATAGCAAGTCGAATATCTGAATTGATTCAAAGTGGTTATACTTGATATAGTAAACTCTTTATGTTATGAATAATATAAAATATTTTCATTCAAGCATTTGTTATTTTATATATTTGACATCTAATGAAGAGATAAAAATAGGATTCGTATAACTTCCGACAATGTATAAAATTTAAAATCGAAGCAAGTCAAGCAACAATTTTATTCGAACCATTGTATGTATTTACATAAATATAGAAACAGATGCAGGGTACATTTTGCATTACTAAACTTTTTAGGACTTACCTATACTTTTTAATATAGCATTGAGCCTCAAATTCTGAATACGTTCTTAGTGGTGTATCAGAGACAGAGAGATGCATGAGCCAAATATAATTCATTAATAATCTAATACTGTAAATGTTATGTCGAAATATTTCTTTCAGTTTTCAGGAATATCATGTTTTTAATACATTGTATTCTGGATCCCTTACAGTCTACAAATATTTGTATGAAATTTTTAGCATTGAGTAGTATTGTTTGCAAATGGAACCCATAGTAACATTATTTTATCGTCCTTCAAGAAAGTCTTTATTTCTACCATTAAGATTGTAAATTCTGTTTACTCACAGGTTGTGAATTTCCAATTTAGTGGAGGACAAACAGCATCTTTTACGATGGTTGCATACACTGAAAGTATATGCTCGAGAAAGACAAAAGTATTTGGCACCAAGGTACAATCTATGAATAAATAGGATGTTTATAAAGTCTCGAAAATTGTAAAGGGAATTTATCGACACCATATATTGTTTTGGCCCTCACAGATGTATTAAATGAAGTAAAAATACTTGAACAATTACTGATTGAAAAACAACAAACCTGGTTGAGATATATTGAAAACTGACTTCATGACAAAATTGAAACTGTAAAGGGACTTTATGGACATCCTGTATAATGCTCTATTAAAGTATTACCAGAAGGGCAAAATCTTTGTGCGTATAATGAAAGCTTATTATAAAGTGTTAAACAAAATTTTGGTATTCTAGCGATCACCTTGCCGATACTAACTGTATTGGCATCGCAGTTTCAAGATCTGCAGTTTAAATTCCATTCCCATCACCTTTCTTAACGATGTATAAAAAGTAGTCTCAGCCAAACTGTCTCTATCACAATAATCGAAACCTGTGCAATGTACATGTAGTATTCAAAAGAGCCCTCTATTAAATAGGCCCTTGCTCAGAGTGAAGGTGTACATAATCTTATCAATTATACTGGCACACGGAATTCTTTGTAACAATATATATTGTCAAGTCCATGCTTCGAAAACAAATAACTGGCTAACTAATCCCATACCCGACATGGACTGGTAACTGGACGAGAAGCTGTGGTTCGCCATATGATTAAGTCGTCTTATCGACTTTCCTTTCCCCGGGATAAATATGTAAGTCCCACCCTATCCTCTTTTTTAATCACTCAAAACAGGGTGAAATATCATATGTTGGGGGATCACACGTGAAGCATTATGATTTCTTGACCCGAAATACAAAGGAATATCATTGTACTGCTGGATTGGGTGAAATGACAAGAATGAGAGGACACAGCGGTGCTGATTTCCATCTTATGGATGCTTTTGTGAGAGCGGTTATGGTATGTTTTACTTATCATAATTTAAATAGACGTTTTATACATTATGCCTGGCATTAGAGATAAAGAGGAAAAATTGTACTGGATAACATATCAGAATTGTAACTGGACTCTCGATTTTCTTAGATTTCACCCTTACAAAGCATATCTAATGACTTCCAACATTTAAATTTATCTTGTTGAAATGGGGTTTCAACATACATTGCTTGATCGAATATAATATGAAAGCATCGGAATAGTTTTTCTTCAAATTTGACATGACAAATTTAGCAATTATGTTTCTTTGAGGACTGGAAATGACTAACCAGTTATTGCTTTCAAATTTAATTGTAATAATTTTACCTTCTGTGTGAACTGGAAGTGTCAGAGCACGGTGTTGTATTTTTCGAACTTCTCGCAGTCAGAATTTGAAATTCTCAAGATTCTATGTTGAAATTTCAGCTTTTTAATAGAGATATTTGAGTTAAAATGTCTGAAACTTGACTAAGCATTTTCAACAAACCGTTGAAGGATTTTGCTTTTCTCAACTTCGGGATATAAAGTCGAAATTTATCTCAACCTGAAATTGGCAGCTGGAATCAAAAAATTTATGAACCATGAGCTAAAGCCCGGAGTACTATTTTATATCAAAAATTTGCTCATCTCCAAAGTTTTGTATATACTGCCCTCTTAGTTTTGGACTCAGCTTATATGGGAGGATATATGGATAATCTATTTCTAGCTCTAGTTGCGTTAATCTGTCAACAATTTGTTCAATCCAGGCGATTTTTAGAGAATTACATTTTAAATCTATCATTTCACAGTATAATGACCCAAGTTACATCCGAAGTGGACCTGATGAAACATTGAAAAGTCATATGTTAGTATTTGCTGCAGAAGAGTCAAGATTAAAAGGGGAAACACTGAAAGTATCAAGTGATGGAAACTGGTCATAGTCAGGCGATTTACAAGACTTTCATTGAGGAGACCATAATTTTCCTTATATAAATTGTTTTAAGACATTCATATAAATCTAGCATAATCTTTCTCTGTAATAACGAGTTTATTTGTCATTACTATCATCGACATGTCATAATGCATCGTTTCCAGTTACATAACCTCACAAATCACAATCCAACGTCCATTTATGCTTCCTTGGGGACAAAATTCAATTTGATAAGTACGGGAGATCCACTACATATACTGCAATCTGACATAGCTGTACTGCATCCCTTCATTCATATTGAAAAAAAGCAACGAATATGAATGACCTGAGTGATGACGATGATTCAGTTTTTATTGGACACAAAGTGTACTTATTATATTGTAGTGTCACTATATTGTTGTTCTTGTTGGTATTTTTTTTCATATCGTTATGAAAAATTGCTTTTTCAATCGCTTTTTCTAGCAACTTACTGGACCAATTGCTTTGAAATTTCTAATGGTTAGAGATTGTATTTTTTGCAAGAAAGCTATTACTTTTATTTATTTCAAATATTACTGTGAGCTCTATAGGATTCGTATTTAATGTGCGATGAGGTCATTGAAATTAAAAATTGCACATCTGTGGCGGTTTCTCTATGGTATAGAATAAGTCGTGAACATTGCTGGCCTACCCGTAATATAATGTGACATATTTCATACCCGTACTATTTCATCTTGGCTTTTGTGTTCATATATTTGAGCATCGCTCTCTTGCTACATTTACTAGTTTTATTTTCTCCACTTTATATCTTACTTTAAACTCGCACATTGTCACCATTATGTATCGTTGACTATTCTGGGCATACTCGAGTCCTTCCTTTTCACTATAAAGTACTACTTTCAATGTTATGACGTTTCAACAATTCTTTAATTCAATTCAAATATGTATATGCAAAAATCCCTATTAAATTTTTAATTATACAAATATAAATCAACATAGTATATGTAAGGTATCAAGTTTTAAAGGCGACGGCGATGAACAGTAATAGAAAAGACCGTCTTCCTCGCTGAACGACTATTGTCCCAATATACAACATAAAACAGTCAGAAATAGTAACACCACTCCACACTTTTTGTATTGCAAGTATTCAGATAGATTAGATTAAAATGCAGTGTAAGTGAAGCGATATATACGAAGTGAATATGATGAATAAACAGGCAACTAAAAACACGAGACAATTACATACGAACGTAAAAAAATGTACAACGTAAAAGCGTCATACAGCAGAACGAGAGAACTAACGTATATGCATTGAAAAGAGACTTAAGACATACGTATTACGTTAAAAAAAAGAAATTTACGTAGTCAATTTCTTTCACACCAAATATGGAGCGAAAAAATGTACATCATCTGATCAGGATGAGGGCAATTCAGCTGGAGCTTGGGAAAATACAATAATTGAAATACATTATGCAAGGTTCCATTACATTTGAACCCATGACAATTGCACCTGTATGCTATTGCACCTATGGAATTTTTTTTGTTTCACGGATAGTTAAACCCATACTAACCCTAACCCATGGGTTTTAGCACCCGCATATAGATTGAACCCGTGGATATACGCATGGGTTCAAATGTACATGGGTTCAAATGTACGGTCACCATTATGCAATAATAGGAAAATTCATACTTAAAAAATGATTACATTGTAATAATGAAAATTGAAGCATGAGAATACAATTGAAAAAAATTTCCACGCAATAATATGAAAATACTGAAATAAAAATAATAAAACAAAATTAATAAATTCATCTAAACGTGTGGGTAATATAGAAACACAAGGTTTGGGAATTTGTTTCGAAGTGTTTGGAATATTTCATTTGTTGAAGTAATTGGGATATCGGGTACACCACGACAAACAAAGATTTCCTAATATTTTCATCAACTGGTTAATTCAGAAAATTCTGATTTTTAAAAACTAATAATTTTGTGGCCATTCATGAGTGAGGAATCCTAGTAGTTTCACCAATAGGTACAGAAGGAGTACAAAGCATTACTAAATCATTTACTTGAAAATTGTTAGAAATAGCTTTTTATTATACTTTTTTTCTGCTAATTTACGAAATTTCTCAAGACGCATTCGCGCCAATAAAGCAACGGAATCTTTTCTAGACATAACATCTGATAAACTATCAATTTTACGAGAATTTCTTCCGTGAGAATTATCGCTTGTCGGGTCTGTTGAATTTCTCAGGTCAAGGGAGTATCGTTTGGTTTTGGTACAATTCCGTGAGCCAAAGTAATGGGTGGAATATAAGTCGAATCGTGTATGGCAGTATTGTAAGCATAACATGGCAATGGTAAAACAAGATTCCAATTTTAGTCAATATTTACTGAAGTTGTCAATCATCGGAAAATGTATTTATTACCGGTATTAGACTTTGAAATCGTGAGAACCTGCTATAGAAGTAAATTCGCCAAGTAAATGATTTTTTTTAACTTTCAATAAGAACGGACCAGGGTTCGTAATACGAACAGGTATTTGGGCATCGATTGAACAAGAAACAAAATTTGAAACAAGAGCCGACTCCTTTTGCTGCAAAGGTAGTCTATTTTTGAAATAACCAAAAATACAAGTCGGTTCCACTCAACTTATCTAAGAAAATGGGTTGAGAATCTGTCTCCGTAATATTATCAGTGCGTATTTCGGTGTGTTCCTTATCAACACCTTCAAAATTCCCATTAAAACGACAGTTTTAGAAGGTCGAATTACAACTTCATCTATTGACGACACTTCGTAAGTGCGTCTTGGATATGGGATAGTTTCACGTGCTAAATAAACGCAGCTTTCCCGCTTCTAAGACTACAGTTATTGTAATCAATAATGCAGCAATGGTTAGTTTGCCAACCCCTTTCGTGTTTAACACTGAGTTAACATAGCATTGGGACTATTTATCGTCTTCAAGCTTCATATCACGATATTTACGTAAAACTTTCTTCAAGACAAAACAATTCTCATCTGTATGGTTGGTTTTCCTACAATAACCACAACCATCAGTCTTGCGTGGTTCTTGTGTGTCAGAGAAATCACTTCTGCACCTCGGTTACATGAACCGCGACCTCGGCGGCCATTTTGTTTTTCGCGATAGTTTTGGTGCCCGGAATCGCCATTTCGTCTACCGCTATATCTTGACTTTGAGCTCGTCGTATTAATTCGCAAGTTTTGTATACCTTTTAGATCCATATAATCAGCTGCATACTCTTTAGTCTTAGTTGCTGTATCCGTTAAACATACAATAGAAAAGGTTTATCTAAAGGTCCAACCGTTCTCAAAAATTCTTGAGCTTTGGTGTTTCTAATGCCATTCACAAATTTTTCATATAATAAATTTTCTGTAGCTGGTGATTGTCCATAGGCCAAGTGAGCCAAAAGTTCAAGATCTCGTGCATAATCAATATAACTCTCGCCCACTTGCTGTAAGCGATCTCTGAATTTCTGTTGGGGGTTACTTTCACCAGCTACACTACAAAACTGTATCAAATGTTGCAATATAACATTAGAGTCGAAACTATCCTGGACCGGGATATTAAATTTCAAATGGATAAGAACATCAGCATCAATGAAACCATATAAACAAATTGCTTTTGCAGGGTCATCCCTAGCTCTAGTGTGGGACATACATGAATTGAACAAAAGTGCAAATTTGTTCGGGTCATCCCCCTCATGGAAAACTTTGAAAATACGGTTAAGGGTCTTTGTTGCTGAATGAGCAATCTCGTAAAATTCATGTGGAATATAAGGACTAGGTCCCACAGTAGTACCCGGTACAAATCGTAAAAAAGGTTGTTGAATAGATTGTTGTTGGTGGGATTGTTGTCGGGACCCAGGGAAAAATGGATTTTGCGGAGAAACCATAGAAGCGTTACCAGGAATATAAGATGAATAACTTTGGCAGTACATTTGATAAGGGATATTCCCATACAACGTATTTGTAGATCGACTACTAGGATAAACAACACTAGGTAAGGATCGTATTAACGCGTCTAGAAAAGGTTCTAACAATTTTGGTATCGTTACTCATAACACTTAGTGATGTTACACTCGTAGAAAAAACAGAATAGGTAACAAAAGTATTAGACATACCTGGCATAATAACTTGTTCTTCTGAAGTCGACCGCACGTCTTCTCAATTTGATTGACTTATGATTTTACGCGGAAATTTTTTGCACTGTGTTTCTGTGGAGCGATAGTTATTGAAGTATTCAAAATACAAGTACTTGCAGTTGTTTCAAAAATGTTCTTACGTTTTCTGTTGCGTTATTCAGTACACCACAACATATATTATCAATGTATTGTTCTTTCACTGACCGGTTCGTCGCTTCTCAATCCAGATTCGCCAAATTAAAAGGACTAATGTTCTTCGCCGGGATTTGACAAAGCGGACTGTCCAACTCTTCTGAAGTTGTCACGTCTGATGGGGGAGATGCAATTTGACTCTTTCCTTTGCCTGGTAAGGTGCGATTGTATCCTGGGTATGGATTTCTTGAGCGAATACAATTCAAAAATTGTTGTTCATTAACTCTGGATCAGTTAGACGTGGTAGTGATATTGAATAAGGGTAAACCGTTTGATCAGGTTGCTTTATTACTTTGTCTGTATTGCTAGGTTGAGAGCAACACTTACTTCGGCCAAAACGTTGGCACGCATTAGTCCGACGAGCAACACTAAAATTCCAAGAATTGCTACTAAAATGTTTACCGCAGATAGGATAATCAGTCTATCAATGGAAATAGTACACTTCTCGTCTTCCATCAAGAAAGTCTCTTCGAAGAATAGCACGAGTGATCGGGGAAATAACGAACGTGACAACCAAAAAAAAATCGTTCCACCAAGTTTGAGAACCCAAGACGGCATCGAAAAAAATCGTATCAATCGTGATGCTTTGTCACAGTTGAGTTTTGTGATAATATTGTGTCAGTAGAAGTGAACATTGAGTTGAGTCCTTCAAAATCTCTACAAAGCACTGGCCGTCATATATTAAGCAGACTCCAAAATATTGGTCAAAAGACTCCAAAAGACCGTCTTCCTCACTAAATGACTATTGAACTGTCATTGGAATACTGGCAAAATACCCAGTTTTTCTGTTGTCACAATATAAAACATAAAGCAGTCAGAAATATTAACACCGCTCCAACTGTGCACTTGTGTATTGCAAGTGTTCAGATACTCGGATTAAATTCATGCGCAGTCTA